ACTATTTATCATTTATAACATATTATATCATAAATGAGAAATTAGTAATAAATCAGGGACTATATATTAAACACTACTTTGTATTATAAATGATAAATTAGTAATTATTATAAATTGGGCACTATTCAGGATATATTAAAATACATTAGTAGTAAGACTAAGCTTTTATCAGGGATATTTTTAGTAAAAGTCGGGGACAGGTGATGGGCAAAAAAAGAAAAGTTCATGGAAACTGTGACCTGTCCTTGAATTTTACTAAAAATATCCCGGACAAAATGGGGATCGGTGGGTCCCCACACTGTCTGAAGCGGGGCAGCTGAACTGGGGCTGTGGGGTGACCCTGCCCCCTGCAGCTCTGGGGGCCCACGGCGGCTGGGAGCTCGGGGGTTCCGCCATCGCAGCTGGGGGCTGTAGGGGCTGCCAGAGACGGTAGAGGTACCCCACAGCTCCCTGTCCCCGCGGGCAGCGGGGGACCCACAGCTCCCGACCACCGCAGGCTGAAGTCACGAAGGTTGCTGGAAGTCACAGATTCTATGATGAAATCAGTCTTATTAGTAATTATCAGTAATTATAAATTAGCAATTGATACTCACTCTCTGTATTAAACACCACTAATATTTTCTATTACAGATGATAAACTATTTGATTCTTCTCCTTGCCTCAGGCCCGTCTCCCTGGGGCTGGCTCGTCTCCATTCCCATCTGTCTTGGAGCAGTTCCTCAGAAACGCTGCTGTTCATCGAAGCCCAGCTAGCGCTGGGTCTTCCAACCCAGCTTTTACCTGCCACGTCTAACTTCAACCCCCCCATTTCCTGGCTGTTCTTCCGATCTTCCAGCCCCCTGGCCAAACCGTCCAAGCCTGGATCCCCTCCGCAGTTCTAGAATTGGTGCTACCTTCCCCGAATTCGTTTGTTCCAAGCACAAATTCATCCTCGTTACCCCCAGGGTCCAGCTGAATGGGTTTATTACCATTCTCTGCAAGATCTGCACCGGTCGCTTCCTCCGTTCCCAGCATTCGGAGCCATACACGCTGCAGGCCCAATTACCGACTCGTAGTTCTGACTTGTCACTGTGCTAGCCAGCCTCCTACCGCAGGTCACGCCTCACTCCTCTTTATGGACTCGACGCCTTTCCTGCTTCGAAGATCCTTGCTGAGTTCCCCATTTTCCTGCTGCGGGGACTGACCGCTGGCTGTAAGACTTTGCCAGAGACAGGATAACTGACCAATTGGTTGTGTTAATTATTAACATTTTGTTGTAAAACCCAGATTGCACGTTTAACGAACTCTGACAAGTCATGTTATACCTAAGCCTTGGAAGGGGTTGGTTTTTTATCAGTAAACATCGATAAAAGTCAATTTCACCGCACCCACGGAAACTGATGGAAAAATCTTTCTATTGATGATCATCAAAATGTCCGGATGGGCGACGTGAGACCAGCCCGGCTGGGGAATGGAGCGGAGCTGGATTTCAGGATATTTGCTTTGTACATGTCGACAATGTGTGTTTTAACAGGTATAAAGCTTTCACTTTTTAAAATCAACGTTTAGTCATTCAATAATTATTGTCTGACCCGCCCTGTTGCATGACTGCCCCATAACTTCCCGCAACAGCGAACATTTAAATCAGTAAAAAAATTTAAAATGCTTTAAAAATTGGTATGTCAAAAATGATAAAAACTCAAATTGTCAAGCCTAATTATACATTAGCCATTAGTTCCTAATTATTAATAAGTATGAATTCTTACTATACATTCTCAACAGATCTTGGATGATAGATTATCAGTGATCAGTTACCAATTATTATAACCAGGTGACAATGTGTTGGCTACAAATCGATAGTCACGCAGTAAAATTAATCAGATGAAAGAATGTGACGGAAAAAAAACAACAAAAATAACAAAGATAAATTGTGAACTGGGAAATTTCTGTAGCAGGTTAAAAAAAAAGTCGAGTAACAAAAATAACTTTACCCAGATTTTAATTTTAAACATGTAGGTGAAATTTAACCAATCTGCAAAAAGAATTGAGAGAAAGAAAATACTAAACAACAGAGTAAAAATAAATCACCCTTGAGGGGGATAAATAGCTGGGTAGAAATTTTGAGGTTTAAAAAAATCTGGCATTTGAGGGCTGGGTTTCTAGTGATGGGAAATTAATGCCCTAGGAGTTCATGGTCCATTTCATACTGGGGTGACAGATTTTCATTCAAAAGTCAATCCTGACCTGCAGCCCCCTGTTATCCCAGCCCTGAGATGCCCCCCCACAGCTCTGCCAGTGCCCCTCACTCCTGACCCGCAGCCCTCTGCACAAGTCACAGATGTTTTCTGGGTCCTGTAGGTTATAAGTACCCCAAACCCAACCTGCTGCTGCGGCTGGAAAGGGGATGAAACCATGGGGCAAGGTTGATCCCTGTTATAGAAACGTCTTCCAGTGTATTATATGCACCCCATGGGGAGGACAGGGCGGGGGAGGGAGGGGGGAAATTCGCTCATTTTATTTTTTGGTACATTAATCTAAAAAAAGTAATGACTCTGTCTGTCCATCCTCTGCTGGAGGGGCTGACTGCCCCCTCCCCCAATCTTACACACATCACCCCCTGGGAAGTCTTGAATTCCCCCAAAGCCCAACTTCTCCACAACACCCCCTGCCCCTCCGAAAAGGTTCCAGACTCCAGCTCAACAGGCCCCTCCCCGGTCTGTGAGTGCCCCTCAATTCCAACCCACAGCCCCCTGCTATAACAGCCCCGGGCTCCCCCCCGGCTCCGTTCATGGACCTACCTCTCGGTCTCTGTCAGCCCTGCTATCAGCCCCACTGCTTCGTTTCTGCCACTCACTAGCAGCTGTGCGGTCAGATCAACACAAGGGGGCCACAGCTGGGCTCATTAACAGGTTTAATTAGGAAAGATACACACTGGCCACGCAGCAAAGGACAGGGCCCCCCAGGTGGTGTGGGGAGCAGCTGAGCTGGGCTCTGGCTCAGGACCCCCACACCCTCTCTTCTCCCCCAGCTGGTCTGAGTCAGGAAAGCACTGTGGGGCACAAGAGAGAAAGTTCCCCTGCTGGATTCCCCTGCCCAGGCCAGACAGAACATGCGGAGACCCCCACCCCTGGCTACAGCTCAGAGGGAGAATGGATGGGTTATGACTCCATGGCTGGAGATGGGGGTCACGCAGACCCAGAGCAGCTGAGGGGTGGAGCAGTAGCTCCAGCCCCATTCAGGCCCAGAGAGCGAGATGCCGCCGCTCATCACACACGTGTCCTGAGTTTCAATACAGAGGCCGCTCCCTGAACCAGTGTGTGTGTGGGGGGGTGTTCGAGTTCATGGCAGCAGGGCCAGTAGCTTTTCCGCAGCAGCTCCCTGGGGGATGTGGGTTTATGGGGGCACAGGCTCAGCAGCACATCTTCTTTCGAAGGACAATGTGGGGCCCTTTCAAAAAATCCCACTGGGACAGAGCAGGGTCCCCAGCATGCACCCTCCGCTGTGCTGGGTGGGAGGGAGCCCAGGACTTGCAACCTAAATTCAGTGTGGGGCCCAAGCCAGGGCCTCAGGGAGACCAGACCCACCCCCCTGTTAAAGGGAGTTTTTAAACCAAGCTTCACCTGAAAGCCCTTTATTTTGCTCAAAGAAAATGTTGTAGAAAAGAGCTCCCCCCCCAAATACAAACAGCACCCCAGGATCTAGGGCAGGAGAAAGGGAAACCATGGAGACAGGCACACAGCAACCCTGAAACTGACCAGACACACCCACCTAGGTCCCTCTCCCCCCAGCCTGAAACCGACCAGGGAGAGAAGGAAAGTAACCAGCTTAATTTCCTTGCTCAGAGCAGTCAAATGGTAAGACCTGAACTCACCCACCGCCGTGGCTCGGTGAAAATTCACGGTGCCAAGCGGTTCCTGGCTGCACCGTTCCCAGGGCGGTAAGGCAGGGAGGGAAGGTTTCCTGCATTTCATCTGGGTTTGTAAATTCTCCAGAGTTTAGCATCTAACCCCGCCCCGCGGGTTCCTCCCTCCCAGTCACAGACTCTGTCCAGCACAAGTCACCTGGGTTTAACTGAAAAGGGGGCCCACGCAGGTGAAGGGGACTGGACATGGGGGGTCCAGCGGATGCAGACACCCGTTCAAAGGGATGTGATTGTAGGGCGGGCGAATGGCGAGAAGCAGAGTCAATCCAGGATTAACCCAACAGGTGGAAACGACAGCGCTGGCGGAAAGAAGGTTGAGGGGATGGGTGGTGAGGGCGCCTCACAGATTGGGGGGAGGGGTATATTGAGGGGAACAGGGAGGAGGAGTCAGATCAGCTGCGGGGGGTGGGTACATGTGGGGCGGCCCTGCCCCGGCACAGAGCCCAGCTCAGCCCCTGCAGTTGACGTTGATGCGAACAGGAGGCTCAGGCAGGGGCCGGAACCGCCCCGCCCAGCGTGTCATCCGTACCCAGGTACACGGGGGGGCTCCCAGCCCCGAGTCTGCGCTGGGGGGGTCTGCGAGCGCCGCCCTATGCTTGGGGCACCACCACGTAGGGCTGGTGCGGGATGAGCCGCTGGCGCTGGTTGCAGGCGTAGATCCAGCGGGGGCGGACGAAGGAGAGGTTGGCATTGTCGTTCAGAGCCTGCGGTGGGCGACGGCAGGGAAGTGAGGGCCACGCGCAGAAGAGCATCTGACCAGCCCCCCTGCTTTAAGCCCCTCGACCCCACTCCTCTCCCAGAGCTGGGGAGAGAACCCAGGAGTCCTGGCTCCCAGCTCCCCCTGCTCTGAGGCACTGGACCCCACTCCCATCCCAGTCAGGGACAGAACCCAGGAGTCCTGGCTCCAGAAACTCTAGCCTGCACCCTGCATTAAACACCCAAATGCGACAAACAGGTTAAAGGCCCCGTGTCCCGTTCCCTGCCCCACGGAGCCAGCCAGCCCCCTGCCCGCTCCAGGGGAGGACACGTGCACCTCATCCATTAGGGGTCGCTATTCTGGTGCTGGGGGGCAGGGGGAGAACGGGGGGAGCCCTCTCACCTCCTCGAAGGTGTCGTCCCACTCCTGGGCCGTGATGACGTAGTTCACCCGCTCGTTCATGTAGCCCTCCACCTCCCTGGGGGCAGGACGGCAGCATCAGTGAGAACCCCTCGCTCCGACCCACCGTCCGTCCCCCCAGCTCTGCCCGCGCCCCTCGCTCCGACCCGCGGGGCTCCCCCCCAGCTCTGCCCGCGCCCCTCGCTCCGACCCGCAGCCCCCGCGGGGCTCCCCCCCAGCTCTGCCCGCGCCCCTCGCTCCGACCCACCAATCGATTATAAAGAATTGCTCGCTGAACACAGATGTGTGTCCAGCACAGAGATGCAGCTGTCTCTAGGGTGGGGCGCGGAGGCTGTTTAACAACCTCCCAGAAACAGATCATGCCTAGGACAGCAGCGAAGGAGAATTTTATAACTACAAAGGGGACTTCGGGAGCTACCCCCAACCAGCAGGATTTCACCCCTCACCCGCTGAACGCCGTGATGTAGCGATTCAGGAGGCGTCGCTCCTGGGAGGGGAACTCGCCATAGAGGAAAAAGCGTTTGCCCACGAAGAAATCTGGAGGAGGAGGAAAGGGGTCACGTAAAGAGCGGGATGCTAGAAAACCGCTTGGGCGTCTCCCTGTCAGAGTCGTATGGTGTTCACCTGTGGGACTCCCTGCCGCAGGATATTAAGAATCTCCTTCATGTGTTCTACTCAAACTCACTGTTAACTGCGGTTACCCATCCCCTAGAGGAGACAGGCCCCGTGCCCCATCGTCCCCCACCCAAGAGAGCCAGTTCCCCCCATGGGGCCAGATGGAAGCCAGAGGTCCCTGGAAGGGAAAGGTGCCATGTCCCACCACACATACCAGGAAGCTCCGGGATGGGCTGATCTGGCTCCTCCTCTACATCTGTGTTCTCATCTGTAGACCCACCATAGGGGTCGTCATCGGGGTCCGGAGCTGCCTCCCGACCCGCTTGCTGCTTCTTGCGGTGCTCCTCCTCCACCCTACATCAGGGAGTGTGGGTCAGCCAGGGGGTGACACCCCTCCCGCTCCTCTGCTGAAGCAACGGAACCCCCTGCCCTACCTCATCTCCACCCCCCTCCCAAAGCCAGGGAGAGAACCCAGGCATCCCGGCTCCCAGCCCCCCTGCTCTAATCACTACACCCCACTCCCCTGAGCTACAGAGAGAACCCAGGAGTCCCTCCCCAGAAAGAGCACCGGGGGGGAGGCGGATCTCCCCCTGGGGCCCTTTTCCCATCCCTCCTGTCCCCACCCCCCTCTCTGGATCAGCTCCCATGGCCAAGGGGCACTCGCCCCAACTCACCGGGGGCCAAGCTCTGCTGTACCCACCTCCTCAGCTCATCGTCTGTGTCGCCGGAGTCGCCCTCCCCGCTGTCTCTCGCCCCTGGAGAACAGCACGGGAAATCAGTCCCAGCCACCCCACAGCATTGTGGGATACCTCCCGGGGCAGGGAGCCAGGACTCCTGGGTTCTCTCCCTACCTGCAGGCTCCCCGCTGTCCGTGGAGGCCGGGGAGCTCTCCCCCCCGGCCCGCGAGTTGCCGGCGTTGGCCCAGGATGTGCCGGGCTCTGTCTCCTCCCCCGAGGACTCACCCTGAGGCGGCAGGGCCCTGGCAGGCGCCTTGCCCTGGTGGTTGGAGCTAGGCAGCCCGGCTCTCTGCAAGAGAAAGGTCCGAGGGGGGGGGTCTGTGCAAGGTGGTGTAATGGGGGCAGGGGCTTGGGAAGCTAGACCCCACCCCCCTCCCAGAGGTGGGGAGAGAACCCAGGAGTCCTGGCTCCCAGCCCCACCCCACTCCCCTCCCCGAGCCAGGCCCTGCCCCATCTGATGCCCCCTACCTGTCGGGGGGAGGGGGTCTTGCGGGGCCGGGCAGGCGGCTCTTCCTCACTCTCCTCTTCCTCCTCGCTGCCCGAGGCAGGAGGACCGTCCATCAGGTACCTGCCCAGGGACACCCCTCGGTTATCCCCTCAGCCAAGCGCTGCTCCCCAGCCCCAGGGAGATCCGACTATACCCCCTGGAGCCCCCCCACCCCCCTGCAGTCCCCTACAACAGGACTGAACCCCCTGGGCTCCAGCCATCACTGATTGCCCCCCCCCCCCCCCCATGAATGACCCCCCAGCACCCTCCCCCACCAGTCTTGCTCCCCATCTGACTCCGATAGCATATAACCCCCCAAGCCCCAGCCAGTGCTGACACCTCCTGGATGGCCCCCCAGACCCACTGGATGTAGGGTGCCCCCTCCTCACCGTTTGCAGGGCAGGTGCCGCCGGGCCCGGTGGCAGTCCAGCACCCACTCTTTCCGCACAATGGTGCCCCCGCGCCCCTTCACCTGGCTGTACTTGGGGGTGTTGGCGAAGGCACAGCTGGGGGAGAGGGAAGCAGAAGGGAGATCAGAGAGAGGTAGATCAAGGCATCAGGACTCCTGGGTTCTTTCCCCAGCTCTGGGTTGGGAGTGAAGTCTAGTGGTTAGACGGGGGTACCTAGATGAGGCGGGTGCTGTCGGGGGTCCAGTTGGGCTGGCCGGGCGGTACCGGCCGGGCAGGGGCAGGGAGCCGGCAGTACCAACGTGAGGTGGGTGCTGTCCGGGGTCCTGTTGGGCGGTACCAGCCAGGCGGGGTGGGGAGGGGAGCCGGCAGTACCGATATGAGGTGGGTGCTGCCAGGGGTCCAGTCCGTCTGGCCGGGCAGGGAGCCGGCGGTACCCACATGAGGTGGGTGCAGTCGGGGGTCCAGTCCGGCTGGCTGGGCAGTACCGGCCTGGCGGGGGCAGGGAGCTGGCAGTACCTACATGAGGTGGGTGCTGTCGGGGGTCCAGTCGGGCCGGTACTTGGCGCCCATCTCCAGCGCCTTGTCCCGCAGCTCGGAGCGGAAGGGGTTCTGGAAGCCGCTCAGCACGAAGACCGTCCCCTGCAGGAGCCTATGAAAATCCTCCCCTGCCCCCTCCGGCGACGGCTCCTTCGGCTGCTTCTTGTGGGCCGGCAGCCTGCTGGGGGGTGGCTCTGGGGCTGGGGGAGGACAATGGGGGGGTTCATGATAACACCCACCTACTGGGACACCTGAGCCAACTGAAACCCTCGGCCAAATGAGTGAAAGATCTGCCCTCCCCTCCTTACACTGTACCCCGCCCCCCTTTCTCTGGCCCTTAAGGTACCAACAGACCTCGACCCGTCATACTGTAGACCCGTCATACTGTATACTATGGAGAGAGCTGGGGAGAGAACCAGGAGTCCCCTCTCACCTTTGGGCTTCTTGGGGGCTGGCTGCATGGAGTGGGGGGCCTCGGGGTCAGGCTTCCGAGCAGAGGCGGGGACCGAGTTCTCCTTGCTGAACTCAAACTTCCTCTTGGTGGGAGCCGGATCCTGAGGGAGAAGAAGTGGATCAGGAGCGAAAGATAAACAACTGGTACGATCAGCATTGGATTCCTGAACGCCGCCACCACTGCAGGGGCTGTTTATACAGGGACCCCTCACCGGGTGCTGAGATGCGGCAGCTTTAAGACAAAACGTGAAGGAGAACCCTGTACCCAAGCAAATCTGCAATGCAGCAGATTGTGGGTACCAGAATGCAGTCCCCAGTGATGGGAGCCGGCCCGGACGCCAGGGTTCACATAGATGACTACATTCCCAGGCCAGCAGGGCCACCTGTGCCCGTCAGCCCGTTCCAGACAGCCCAGGCCAGAGACCGGCCCCCCAGTCACTCCTAGGGTCGATCTTACCAAGGAACCCCCTGTCTCAACTGAGAAACTGCCCGGGATGGAGAATCCCCCGCGCCCCTTGGGCACTTGTCCCAATGTTTCATTGCCCTCCCTGGTGAGCACTGATGCCTTATTCCCAGGGTGAATAGAGACGGGATCGCAGCTCCCGGGAGCCTTCCCTGGGTTAAACCGAACGGGTCAAGTGCCTGGCGTCACTTGCTCTGCGGGGAATTTTCAAGCCGTTCTTTGTTCTTGCGGCTCTTTGCCAGGGGAGGACACAGGAACTGGCCCCCGGGTTCCAGCAGCCCCCGCCACTGCGAGGGCTGCGCCCGGCCGAGAGGACTGTACCTTGGGGGAGGCTGCAGCGCGGCTCGGGGAGGTCCTGGCGGTGGGTTTCTCTGCAGCGGGTGGGGAGGGGGAGGAGGCGGCAGCGCTGGGTGTACTGGCCTGGAGGGTGGCCACGGCGTAGCTGGGGGACGGTTCCTCCGTCTGCGGGGCTGCACGGGAGAGCAGACAAGAGATGTCGCAGCCACAAATCACAGTAGCAGCCCGCGGAGCCAGAGCTAACCAGACGTACCACAGAGGGCAGGGGACAGCCCCTGGAAACCGGCATCTCTGGGTAACCTAGGCAGACGGCCAGCACACCCAGCTGTGGAGAGAACCCAGGAGCCCTGGCTCCCAGCACCCACCACTAGACCCCACTCCCCTCCCGGAGCCGGGCAGAGAACCCAGGAGTCGTGGCTCCCAGCCCCCACCCCATTCTATCCCACTAGACCCGCCCGCCCCCCCCCGGCTCCCCTCCAGGGGTTCATGGTACCTCTGGGTGGTGTGAGAAGCGGTTTGCTAGCTCGGCTGAAGAACAGGGCCCCGGGCCTCATTGAGGCAGAACTGCTGTCCTCGTCCTTCACCTTAAACTGGCCCAGCTTGGTCACCTTCTGTACGGAGAGAGATGCACAGGGCTGGGCTAGTTCGGGCTGCAGGTCGGGCGTGAGGGGCACCGGCAGAGCTGGGGAGGGGGGAGCCCAGGGCTGGGCTAGCAGGGGGCTGCAGGTCAGGAGTGAGGGGCACTGGCAGAGCTGAGAGAGGGGAGGGGGGAGTCCATGGCTAGGCTAGCAGGATTGAGGGGCACCACCAAAGCTGTTACTCACCGGGGAGGCAGATTTTGATTGTGTTTCGTTGTTTTCGGGTGGCGAGTGGAACTTCACAAAAGACAGCCCATACGCTAGGGTCTATGGGGAGAACAGCCAGAAAGAAAGCGACCCATTGGCAGAGCTGGGAAGAGAACCCAGGAGTCCTGGCTCCCAGCCCGCCTCCCCTGGTCTAACCACTAGACCTCACTCCCCCCGCCCCCGCCGAGACACCCTGTACCCCATGTTAGGCACTTTTATAAGGTTATGAAATATTTGGTACAAAGTCTGCTTTGTGAGCTATCATTTGAAAACTCATCATTTGCTGAACATCACTGTCCTTTTAAAATGTGTGTAACAGTGTGTGTAAAGCTACGTACTTTTACTATACGATGTTACTAAAATATGTTAGGATTCTGGGGAGCACCCACAGACTAGCTCTTCAGAGACCACAAAGGACAGAACAATACCCCACCAGGTGTTAAGAAACTATCAGCTGGGTAGGCGGCCGTTCTCTGGCAGGGGGAAGGTGTGAGTAAGAAATGTACATTTCGCCCCAGAGATGGTTCAAGCCTCACGTACACAAGGTGTGGGGTAATCCTCAGGGGGGAGGGGGTAAAGGAATGAAACAGTGGCTTCTACCTCACCTTTCCCATCTCTCTGCTCATGACATCAGTGTATTCCCTGGAAAGACACTGAACCAAAGTGGGGGATCCCAGGCTGAAAGGAAATCCAGCCTGTGAAATCTACCACAAACTTTTGGCGAGAAAAACCTTTTTTGCTTTTAACTCCACTCAGGGGGTAAATTAGGCAGTAGCTTGCGTGCTTATTTCCTGTCATTTTTCTTTGCACCCCATTCTGGCTTTTACGTCTCATCACTTGTAAGCGATTGGAATCGACCTTTCAGCAGGTAAAAACCTTCTCAAATAGTTTCATCCAAAACAGAGTGTTTGGAGCGAAGTGTTTGGGAACCTCCACTTGGCTGGTGCACAATACCTTCCCTTTGATGGGATTTCTATGAGCTCGTGCTGTCCAGGAGGGTGCTGGGCAGTACAAAACGCACATTTCTGGGGGACAAGGCCGGGACTAAGGATTTGCGGGTGCTGCCCAGTGTGTAATTGAGGAATGGCTGGGAAAGTGTTCCTGTAACTCAGCTCGGGGTGACTTTGCACGCTGCAGGCTGTGTGAGAGGGCCAGGACTGGTGGCAAAGCAATGTCAAAGAGACCCAAGGGGACACAGCTGTTCCCCACTCCAGACTGTACCCTGGGGAACATCACCCCCACCCCGCTTGAGCGGGTCGCACTGACAATGGATCACGACGTCACCACTGTTCTGCACTGCCCGCTTTCACTCACCCACGTGTAATCCCTTCCACCCCTGCCTGGCCAGTATGCGAGGGGTCCCCAGACCAGGCTGTACTGCGGAGGAAGGTCCCAGGGTCGGGAGGGGTCCCACCTTGGTGTAGGGCTGGGTGCAGACAATTTTCACCCGGTCCCATTTCTTCTCTGCTGCTGCCTTCACCAGCTTGTCCGGGCCGAACATCCGGACCCGGTTGAGGTTGGTGCCAGCCTTGCTCTCCGAGGGCGACATGAAAGACGAGGTGACCAGCAGCACCTTGCGGGGGGGGGTGGGAGAAGAGAGCCCGGGTTAGAGAAGCCTCTGCAAACCCCTGACATCCCCCCACCCCAAATCCTGTCGTCGCCACAGTCCTAAACAGTTAAGCCCCCTGCCGTCGCTCAGCTGGGCCCCACCCCACAGGGCTCACTGAACCAGGTCGACCCCTCTGCCCCCCACCTTAGACCTGGGAGTTCCCCAAAGCTCAGCATGCACTGCTTCCTCCCCCTCACCTCGTAGTCCTGCTCGCTGGGTGAGGCAGAGCTGCCGGCCAGCACCTCCACGAAGGCTGAGCCCTCGTTGCCCACGTCAATGCTGTGGATCCGCTCCTCCTTCTCGAACTGCCGCGGGCGGAAGGGGAGAGAGTCAGGGGCCGGGGATGCGGTGCCCACCCAGGGCCCATTCCCAACCCACTCCGGGAACCAGGAGTCCAGGGTCCCCCCTACACCCTAGTCCCCTCCCAGGGACAGAACCCAGGAGTCCCGGCTCCCCCTTGCCCCCCCCCCCCCCTTCCAGGGACAGAACCCAGGAGTCCCAGCTCCCCCTTGCCCCCCCCCACTTCCAGGGACAGAACCCAGGAGTCCCGGCTCCCCCTTGCCCCCCCCTTCCAGGGACAGAACCCAGGAGTCCCGGCTCCCCCTGCCCCCCCTCAGGGCACGGCCCCCCCCCGGGCACCGCCCCCCGCCCCCCCCCTCCAGGGACAAACCCAGGAGTCCCGGCCCCCCTTGCCCCCCCCCCCCCCTTCCAGGGACAGAACCCAGGAGTCCCGGCTCCCCCTTGCCCCCCCCCCCCTTCCAGGGACAGAACCCAGGAGTCCCGGCCCCACGGGGGGGGGAGAGGAGGGGGAGCTCACCTGCAGGATGACCGACAGCTGCTTCTCGCCCGCCTGCGCCGCCTTCCACTTGCGGTAGGTGTCGGCTTTGAGCAGGTTCTCGGCGCAGTGAGTCTGGGGAATGGGGGGGGGGTGGTCAGGGGGGCGAGACACCCCCAAGGATGGTTCTCCCCCCCCCCAGGAATGGTCTCTCCCGTCCCGTCCCCCCCGACAGGGAATGGTCTCTCCCACTCAGCTCTCCCGCCCCCCCCCACAGGGAATGGTCTCTCCCGTCCCGTCGTGGTCTCGCCGACCCAGACCTGACCCCCGGGAATGGGCTGCCCCGCACCGGGTCGGCGCTGCTCGCGGACACCACATGGCGGACCCCGATCTCCGGCATCCCCGCGCGCCGCCGCCGCCGCCGCTGCCCCCCCCGCCCGGAAACAAAACTCCGGCGCCCCCGGAAGTGAAACCGCTCTGCGCCGCCCGCTCCGCTCTATGTGGGCTCGGCCCTCCGAGCCGCTCTGCGCAGGCGCCGTTGCCCAGCGAGGGATTGTGCGCGTGCGCAGCGCCCGATCTCGCCCGAGCAGCGGAGCGCGTGCGTGGTTCCTTCGCGCCTCTTTCGCCCGGTCCCCGCTCGGTCGCGGCGCATGCGCCCCGAGTGCTGCTGGCGGCTCTTACTAGTGCGCATGCGCCTTGCCCTCGTGCAGCCCGCTCGCACCTGTTCCACCTCCTGGCGGCGCAGAGGTGAAGTCGCATCAGAGCGCGACATGACGTCATGCTGTGGCGCACGCGGCCCCAATTTTAGTTAATTGTGGTGTCTTAGTGACTAATAATGACATCATCATGACATGACATCATCAGCATGAGCAGTCTTCCTGGTGTAACATCATCTGCGGTGACATCATCAGCCTATGACACCACATCACCAAGTGGTGATGTCATCAGCCCCATGGTGTGATGTCATCAATACGTGCAGACACCTGGATGTGATGGCCTGAGAATGTGACATCATCAAAATAGGCAGACATTATGATGTGACATCATCATGGGGCTGTCACGGGGTCCCCGGGCGTTTCTCGGGAACTGCTCCCTGCGAAGCCGGGCAGGACTCTGGGAGCAGCCTGTCCCCAGGGCAAGAAGCTTCCCCGGCTTCCCCCTTCCTGCGTCTGACCTCGGAGCATTCAGCGTCGCCTGCCCCACCGTGCGCTTCCTGCAGCGAATCTGCCCAGGCAGGGTCCTGGGGCAGCCAGAGGGTCCTGCCCCCCAACTCCACAGTCAGACGGGACTCTCAGCCAGGCGGGAAAACAGAAGGTTTATTAAACAACTAGAAGACAAGCCTTTCCCCTGCGCCCGAAGCCTGCAGAGACCGACTTGCTCCAGCTGCCTGGCACCTGCCCTGCCCGATGCTCCTCCTCCGGCCTTTGTCTCCCTTCTGGGCCGAGAGACACCTGGTCGCATCCCCCTCCTGGGTCTCAGGTTACGAAGGGGCAGCCACAGCATCCATGCAGGCAGCTGGAGCAGCCCTCGCAAAAGTCACACGCTTATTCCCACCACCCAGACATTGGTGCAATACATAGGGAAACAGAGGCACACGCAGCATTCATGCAAAACAGTAAGACTCACATAGGCTCACGTAGGCCCCACTTTGCAACATCTCTCCCCTCTTCGAGACCGAACTGAGCGGGGTTTCTTTAGCCAGTGACCTGGGGAAGTTCAGGCCCTGCTCTCCGGGACAAAGCATCAGCTATAACATGTGCACTCCCCTGAACATGGACCGCCTCCATCTCATATTCCTGGAAGGACAGACTCCACCTCAGGAGCTTGACGTTGGCCCTTCTCATCTGGTGCAGGCACGGTAGGACAAGTGGTCCGGGTACACAGTGAAGCGCCACCCAAACAGATCCGGCTGCAGCCTTTCAGGAGCCCACTCCATGGCCAGTCACGTCTCCTCTATGGCCGCAAAGCCTTGCTCCCGGGGCAGCAGCTTCCTGCTCAGCTACTTGATGGGGTGTTTCTCCCCTTTTGCATTGGCCTGCCTTGGCACCGCACCCACCGGCAGCCAAGCTCCGCCCCGCCCCCGCCTCGCCTTCCCCCACAAGTGTGCTGCGTTCCCGCTCCTCCCCCTCCCTCCCAGCTCTTCCTGCTCCCTGCTGCCTAACAGCTGTTTGGCGGCGCTTAGGACTTTCCCAGAGGGAGGAGGAGGAGCGGGGACACGGCATGCTCAGGGAAGGATGCGGAGAAGAGGTAGGGCAGGGGCGGGCACTTGGGGGAAGGGGGTGGAATGGGGGTGGGGTGAGGGTGGTGCAGGGATGGGAAGAAGAAGGACGGGGGAGGGGCCAGAGGCAGGTGTGGGGGTTGAGCACCCACTGGGCAGAGGGGAAGTCGGCGCCTATGCCCCACTGATCATGGACTCACAGGCCTGTGCTCTGTTCGCTGCCCATGATCCCTGGGAGGAACCCCTTCAGTGCGACAGCCCTTCTCGGGGGTCCACTCTCTCTTGGGGTTAAGCCATAGGCTCCTCCACCTCCTGGAACCGCACCTCTTTGGAGCCTTCAGCACGCCCATCTCCCGCTAATCCCCCTTCGTTTTACTGCTCCCCAGTGACTAACTGCAGGATGGTCTGTCCGTGGGATGCAGTTGATCCCACCACTGCCACCAGGTGTCATGGAGTCATTGGGGTGATGCTCTGGAACTATTCCCTACAAAGCCAGTCAGGAGTCTGTGGGAGCCTCTTCTCTCTGAGCATGCTGTTTCAAGGGCAAAAAGCTCTGAGCTTCCTGGGTCTGATCTCGGAGTATTCAGCATCCCCTTCCACACCGTGCGCTTCCCGCAGTGAGTCCACCCGTAGCGGAGCTTCTGGGGGAGCCAGAGGGCCCTGTTGTGACGAAGTGGGACTGTTCTTAATGTTTCCTCTGAATAGTGTGGGGGTGCCTCAGTTTCCCCTAGGCAGTTCTTAAGTATCTAGGGGGTGGGGTAAGGGTGTCTGATCATTGCAGAGCCCTAGAGGGCAGGGGTGTGCAGGGGTCTGGAGACAGAGAATGGCCGACACCCTGTTTCCTGGCCACTGATGGCCTGGGCCCTTTCCCCCTGCAAGGTGAGAGCTGAAGGGTTGGAGAACAAAGGAATCAGGTGACCTCCTGGCCCGGGAAAGGGACAAAGCCCAGAGGAGGAGGGGCTGGAGGGGGAGGGAGTTTGGGGCTGGCTGGGACATGGAGTGAAGGGCAGATGGGGTTGTCTGGCTCACTGCCCCCCAAAATGGACCCAGCTGAGGGGTCCCGTTCTCTGCACCTGCAAGCTCTGTGTTAGACCATGTCCCTGTCGTCTAATAAACCTTCTGTTTTACTGGCTGGCTGAGAGTCCCGTCTGACTGCGGAGTTGGGGGGCAGGACCCTCTGGCTTCCGCAAGACCCCGCCTGAGCGGACTCGCTGTGGGAAGCACACAGAGGGGCAGAGGATGCTGAATGCTCCGAGGTCAGACCCAGGAAGGTGGAAGCTGGGCAAGCTGTGTGTCCTGCAGACAGGCTGCTCACAGAGAGGAGACTTCCCCAGAGTCCTGACTGGCTTCATGGGGAGCAGGTCCAGAGCATCGCCAAGGGACTCCCTGCACCCCAACTCCGCACTCACACCTGACTCTCAGCCAGCCAGGGAAACAGAAGGTTTATCTGTCGACAGGAACACAGCGTAGGACAGAATGTGTTAGCACAGAAATCAGTGACTTTAAGCTAAGTCCATCTTGGGGGGACAGTCCTCCCCCTGAGCCCCAAGCCTGCCGAGACCAACTCGCTTCCAGGTGCCTGGCGCCTGCCCTGGCCATTGCTCCTCCTCCGGCCCTTGTCTCGCTTCTGGGCCGAGAGTCACCTGGTCGCATCCTCCTCCTGGGTCTCAGGTTATGAAGGGGCAGCCACAGCATCCATGAAGGGAGCTGGAGCAACCCCCACAAAGGTCACACGCGCTTATTCCCACCACCCAGACATTGGTGCAATACACAGGGAAACTGAGGCACACCCGGCATTCATGCAAAACAGAAAGACTCACATAGGCTCACGTACAACATAACAAGGGGAAATCCCCACTTCGTCACAGGGGCACAGTGCATGCAGTGACATCAGCCTGATGTGACATGACATCACAGGCTGGTGACATCATCCAGATGAGCAGACGTGATCAAGATGGCCCCATCCCAGCACGCCGTCACCATGCCAACAGCCCAAGGCCCTCATGGCAGCAGTGTCCCTGTGGCACAGTGGCGTTACGGTGGTCCGGCAGCACGATGACAGCATCGTTAAGGGACATCGCCATCACGTAACATCACCTGGGGTTGATGGGCTGGAGCAGGTGGTTGGGAGGGATGTGAGGGTGTCTCTGGCTGAGGGTGTGGGCTCTGGGGTGGGACTGGGGATGAGGGGGTTGGGGTTCAGGAGGGGGCTCTGGGCTGGAACCGAGGGGTTCGGATTGCGGGAGGGGGCTCAGGACTGGGGCAGGGTGTTGGGGCATGGGAAGGGGTGAGGGTTGCAGGCTCTGGGTGGCGCTTACCTCGGGTGGCTCCCAGAAGCGTATCTGGCTCCCAGGCGGAGGCGTGGCCAGGTGCGCTCCCCCCATCCGCAGGTGCCGCCCATGCAGCTCCCATTAGCTACAGTTACAGGCGGTCCCCGGAGACTCTCCAGTCTGTCTTGTCACCCAACTAAACTGGGCTTAGTGACCAGTAATCACTTACACCAAAAATCACCCCACAGAAGGTCACTTCCTGAGATCAATTGGTGCCCTAGATCCTACACCAAAGACAAGGCCTGCTGCAAATCCTGTAATAAACCATCTAACGCATGCCTGACTTGTAGTGATCTGTCAATTCGAAGTGGCTTCCAGGGTGGGCCCAGGGGTCACCCTTGGGGATCTCGGCCTCAGTTTAGAGATTCTGGCCCTGTCGGAATTCAAACAGTGAAGAGAGAGATGGACAATTTTCCCGTGCTTGGTTTTATTTCCTTCATTCAGCTTCCAAGCCTGCAGGCCGAGCTTCTGTGCACCGTTTCCCAGGTGCGACAGGGCCGTTAACCAACCCTCTGGATTGCAATGGTCCTGGCTGGCCCGTCTGATTTGGATAGGCCTGCTGGCTGGGCGGGGGGACGATTCCCAGGCTGGGTTCACAAGTTCAAAGCAAACGTTTTCAAACTCTAGAGCAAAACTGAGCTATTTCCTTGTAGGCTGGAACCCAGACATGGCACGGGAGGTTAATGCAGGCAGCCAGCGGCCTCTCTCGAGGCTAAACGTTAAATACAGTCGTACCAGACTGGCACCAGTTCTGAGCAAAGTAACACACGGGTAACCTGGGCTGGTCCCCAGTTCTTAGCTAATTCCGGCCTGCCAGTGTCACCCCATCCCTCCCCACCCGTCCTGCTTCATACACATCCCTCTGACTGTCCATCCGTCCCCATGCACACCTTCCTGCCCATCCACCCATCTCCATCGCCACAGTGGTGCCGATTCTCATGATTCTGTCACGAGTCTCATGATAAGTATTGTTTTCGTTTAAGCCCCAGCTCCCGGAGTCAGGTGGGTCTGGGCTGGTTTCAGCCTTAAAGAAGAGGGCCGTTTCGAGTCCTCCCGGCTGTGGAGAAAGCTAGAAACCGTGACCCCCGGGGCCCCCTAACGGCTCAAAGAGCAGACGGCAAATAACAAGACCCCCAGATCTCATATCTTTACGTAATCTCATCACTTCTGAACCTTTGGGGTTGGCAACACTGCCTCCATCTGTCCTGTTCGCCATCCCCATCCCCAGTCCTCAGTCTCCCTGCCTATCCCCATATAGACCCATCCGTGCAGCTAAGGTGCCCCTCTAGCCTAGCATCAGGGCCCCCCTGGGATCACTCTCCCCCCCAGATAAGCGGGGATCCGCGGCCCACTGGGGATCTGTGAGCCCTTTCGCTGAAACCCTGCGCCCTGGTGCCCAACTCCCCTGCCATGGGGCTGAAACCAGGAGTGGCGTGGGGCTGAAACCCCGAGCTCCCTTCTCCCCCTCCTCCCACTGAAGCCGGGACCAGCATGGGGCTGAAACCCTGAGATCCCCCCCCCCCAGACCCCCGCTGAAGCCCCAACGTGGGCAGAAGCCCTGAGCCCATGGACAGAGGTGAGGGGGCATGAGGTCATTGCCCCCCCAAACTGCAGAGTCTTACCCAGAGTGGGGCAGTCCTGGGGGCAGCTCCACCCCGCCCCCCTCAGGTCCTGCCCTCTGGCCAGGTCCTAGGTGAGAAGCCGGAGCCAGGCAGTGTGGGGCAGCTCCTTCTCTGGCTGGTGGTGCCATGGGGCGGGCAGCCATGGCATTCCCCGTCTGCTGCTGGTGCCCGGGGCTGCGGCTGCTCCCAGCCCCCTTTGACTGCTCCTGCAGCCGGTCAGAGCCGCCCGGGCAGGGACCCGGGGCCGGCAGAGCCCTCGGGGAGCAGCTGCCGGCACAGCCCCAGACAGGCGGGGGGCTGCTGAGGTGAGTCCGGGGCTGGAGGCGACTTTCCCTCCCTGGACCCCGCTGTGCAGAGCTGGCCCCTCCCCAAATATAGAAGTCAAACTATGCCTATGCCCCAGGGTCCCACCCCTGGCCGGAGCCTCGAGTCCCCCTGGCCCCCGCACCGGGCCCTGGAGTCTTTATAGCACTCAGGGTCCCGGCGCGGGGCTCAGGAAGGGAAAGGCTGAGAACCCCATGCTAGATCCCAGCCAGCCGGGGGTCCCTGGCTTGTCACTGGAGCCGGCTGGCCAGACCTCAGTCTTTGCTGCTGTCTGACTGTCCCAAAGGCCTTTCTCCAGGGCCCTGCCCAGAAACTCTCCGTCCTGCCCGCGCTGGCCCCCAGCCAGGCCAGCCGCGCCTCTGCCAGCAACCTGGGCGCTTGGCTCAGCTTCCCTCGGCCCTCTGCCCGGAATCAGAGCCGGGGAGAGAACCCAGGAGTCCTGGCTCCCAGCCCCCTCGCTCTGAGCCTCAGCTCCCCCTGCTGGTCTCGGGAGGGGGTTCTCTGCCCTGGTCTGAGCCCACCCTGCTCTCTGTAACCGCCCCCTCCCCACATGTGGTTCCTGGTACCTCCAGCGGATGCCCCCCACCTCCCATGGGCTGAACTGCCCAGCCTCCTTCGCCATGGACGCTGACACCTGCCAGGGGGACCCCGGCTTGAGCTGCGCAGGGGCCGAGACCCACTGGGCTGGGGTGGAAAAGGTGTCGTGCCGAGCTGGTGCCAGGCCAAGCGCTGGATTTGCTGCACTTAGGGCAGGGCTGAGGTGTTGTCAGGTGGGGGATTCTCCAGGCCCCGTTGCTGTCCCTGGCCTGGCCATCTCCCCGATGCGACATAGAGCAGCCTTGGGGCTGCTCTATTTTACAATCTGCCCTATGGGCCGTGAGGGGCAGGGAATAGCCACAGCGCAGAGCGCCCCAGCTACACCCCCGATCCTTTGGGCCCTGGAGACAGGAAATAGCCACAGCACAGTGCGCCCCGGCCATGCCCCGATCTGTCCCATGGGCCCTGGGGGGCAGGGAATAGCCACAGCAAAAAGCAACTCTCTCTCACGCTCCACAAGGCCCCTTTGTCCCTCTTCACGGTGTGGGGCTCTCTGCCCCCCGACATGTGTCTGCCCCGTGGGGTTGCTGTATACCCGGAGAGAGGCCATCTGCACCCTGGCCTGACAACAGCATCACCCAGAGGGGATGGCCCCCGGGGCACCTGCTGCTCCAGCCCACCCCCTCCGGATTGCCCCCTCCCCCCACTGGGATCTCATTGTGGCTGGATCTGTGCTCCAGCTCCTCTTCCCCCAAGGGTCTCCCCCAAGCGAGGGTCCTGGACCCCCCCCCATCTTGCCACTTTTGGGGGTGGGGGCAATTCTCATTGCTTTCCTGCAGCCTGTCCCCGAATAAACCAGCGCTGGGAAACAAAAGGCTATTGTTTGATGTCTATCCGTTTCCAGCCTACTCTGACCCACCAGCCCCTGGTCCCCTGCCAGGGCTGGAAAGGGAACCCAGAAGTCCTGGCTCCCAGTCCCCCTGCTCTAACCCACTAGCCCCTACTCCCCTCCCACAGCCGGGGAGAGAAAATCCCTGGTGTGGACTTTCCATTCCCCCCTCGGCCAGACAAAGACACTCCCTCTAGGACCCCGCCTTTATACAGGAATAGCAACAAAGTAGGTAATATCCCCTGATGGGGCTAGTTACCACCCGTGTACCGGCTGGTTGACCCAGGCTCAAGCCATCTCTGTTCATGCCCCTGTCATTCTGAGTCTAGCCTTGGGAGGGGTCCGGGTGTCCCCGTATCGCCTTTGGGGAGTGTGTTTACCCCTAACTCGGTACCCGGGGGGATCCTTCGGGAACGTCTTTGGGGAAGTGCCCAGCACCCCGCCTAGCACATCTTAGGAGTGTCTGTGGGTTTGCAACCCCAACCGGGTTCTTGCCAAGTTCCCGTACCGGACGGAGAACCTGCAGGAGTCCTGGCCCCGGCCCAGCCAGCTCATCCTCCCCTCTGGACAATTTCACTGGATGCTCAGAGGCCTGTCTCCTTGGCATCGGGGCTACATTCCCCCCTTGATCTCGGCCCCCTGCCACATGCCGAGGCACTGGCTGGCCTGTGTCCCTCCTGGGCTCCCTGGGCTGGGGACAGGGAGAGCCCTTGGCCGGATTACAGGCTGGGGCAATAGGGGGGTCAGGCCGCACCGGTCCGGTGACAGGCTTCCCTTAATGAGATCCCCCATATTCCACCCCCGGGCTCCCCAAACTCTCACCCCAACCCTGGCCCCCCTCCACCCACCCACAGATACCCCATGGTCGGAGAGCGGCAGCCCCAGGCCTGTGGGTGCCACGTCCCCAGGCCGGGCGGGGTGCGTGGCAGGGATCGAAAGGGAGACGTGGCCGGCGGTGAGAGGTCCAGGCCAGGGTAATTGATGGCCCCGGAGCCGGATCCCTCCAGGAACTGGCTGTTCCCAGGCCCTGTTCCCTGCCCTGGCCCAGCCCCGGGGCTATAAATCCCCACTGGGCGCAGTGCTGGCTGCATCCGACGGCCAGCTGTGCTCGCTGCCCCGCGCTCTGCCCTGCACCATGGTGGCCCACCTGGCCCTCTGCCTGCTGTCTGCGCTGCTGGCCACGGGTGAGTGGTAATGTCTGTCCAGCACCAACCGCCAGCTCCCACTCCCCTGCAGAGCTGGGGAGAGAACCCAGGAGTCCTGGCTCCCAGCCCCCCTGTTCTAACCCACTAGACCCCATTCCTCTCCCAGGGCTGGGGAGAGACTCCAGTAATCCTGGCTCCCAGCCCCCTGCTCTAACCACTAGACCCCACTCCCCACTCAGAGAACCCAGAAGTCCTGGCTCCCAGAACGGCAGCCCCAATCTAAGCTCCGCTAGTCAGCTGCTGCACCCCCACTGGAACTATCCATTAAGGGGGGGCTGGTGGCCCTGCAGATTATCCCTCTCCCAAGTCCTCCCCTCTCTCCCCAGGTGGCTGCCTGAAGTGCGAACACTGCAGGAGCGCTGACAAGGCGTGCTCCGGAGAGCCACAGGACTGCGCACCCTCCCAGACTGCCTGCCTCATCCTCAGCTCGGAGACCAGAATCGGTGGGTGACGGCACCATGCCCGGGCATTGCCCCTGCCCCGATGGGGAGGGGCTGGGCTCTGCTGCTGGCCAGCCAGTGGTGCCCCCGTCGCACCAGGCACTGCCCAGACCTCAACTGAGATCGGGGCCCGTTGCGCTGGGAGCTGTGGAGTCAACTTGTGGAACTCCTTGGTAGAGGACATTGTGAAGGCCAAGACAATAACAGGGTTCAAACAAGAACTAGATGAGTTCCTGGAGGACAGGTCCATCGATGGCTATTAGCCAGGATGGGCAGGGATAGTGTCCCTGGCCTCTGTTTGCCAGCAGCTGGGAATGGGCCACAAGGGATTGGTCACTTGATGATTCCCTGTTCTGTTCATTCCCTCTGGGTAGGGTGGCCAACTTTCCAATTGCAGAAAACCAAACACCCCTGCCCCGCCCCCTTCCCGAGGCCCCACCCCTTCTCCTCCCCACCACTCCATCCCCCCTCCCTCCATCGCTCACTCTCCCCCTCTCTTGTTCAGTTTAACGGGGCAGGAGGTTGGGGTGTGGGAGGGGGTGAGGATTCCAGTGTGGGACCAGAAATGAGGGGTTGGGGGGGTCCAAGCTGGGGCAGGGGGTCGGGCTATGGAGGGGGGTGCGGGCGCTGGTGTGGGACTGGGGCTGAAGGGTTCAGCATGCCGGAGGGGGTGTGGGCTCTGGGAAGGAGTTTGGGTGTGGGAGGGGGTTCGAACCTGGGGCAGGGGATTGGGGTGTAGGAGGGGTTTTGGGGTGTGGGGTCTGGGCGGCACTGACCTCAGGTGGCTCCCAGAAGTAGCCGGCATGTCCGGCTCCTAGGTGGAGGCGCGGCCAGGTGGCTCTGTGCGCTGCCCCCATCCACAGGTGTCGCCCCCGCAGCTCTCATTGGCCATGGTTCCCAGCCAATGGGAACGGCGGAGCCAGCACTCGGGGTGCGGGCAGCGCATGGAGCCCCTGTTAGGAGCCAGAGGGGGGACAGGCTGGCCGCTCCCAGGAGCCGAGCAGAGCCAGGGCAGGCAGGGAGCCTGCCTTAGCCCCGCTGTGCAGCAGCCCGTTCGGCTTGGTGACGCCTCCCCCGTGTCTTGCCCCCAGGGCAGGAGCAGAAGCTGGGCACCTACAAGGGCTGCACCGAGACCAAGTTCTGTCCCCCGCGATCCTCCAGCCTCAGCGCCGCCTTCGGCCTGCGTGTGCGGAGCGCTGCCAAGTGCTGCCAGCGGGACCTGTGCAACAAGGGAGCCGTGAGGTGTACGGGACCAGTCGCCTGCCCGGCCCCCACTCGAGCCACAAGACCCCGCTCCCCTGCCTGAGCCGGGGAGAGAACCCAGGAGTCCTGGCTCTCCTAGTTCCCCCGCTCTGACTCACGAGACCCCGCTCCCCTGCCTGAGCCGGGGAGAGAACCCAGGAGTCCTGGCTCTCCTAGTTCCCCCGCTCTGACTCATGAGACCCCGCTCCCCTGCCTGAGCCGGGGAGAGAACCCAGGAGTCCTGGCTCTCCTAGTTCCCCCGCTCTGACTCACGAGACCCCGCTCCCCTGCCTGAGCCGGGGAGAGAACCCAGGAATCCTGGCTCCCAGCCCCCACCCACACTTCCCATTCCAACCCAGTACACCCCACTCCCATCTCAGATTCAGGAGTCTGCTGCTCTGACCATTAGGACACCCAGCCCCATCCCAACGCCCTTCCCTGCTCCGAGCACAAACACTGACTGTGTCTCTCTGTCCCTAGTGCCACGGGCCCAGCCCAAGCCCAGCGGGCTGCAGTGCCCGGGCTGCTTGTCAGAGGGCACCGAATGCCAGGCCAATGAGACCGTGACCTGCCTGGGCCCCGAGAACCACTGCGTCTATTTTGCTGGATCCATCACAACTGGTAACCGCTCGGGGGAGACATTTGGGGCGGGGAAGGGCTCTTGCATCTAGCGGAGGACGGCAGGGCAAGGAGCGAGCGCGGGCGTTAACGCCAGGCACAGTCCAGTCAGAGATAAGGCCCCGTTGTAACAAGCTCCTGCGGGCTGGGGTGGGTTTGCCCCCGCAATGTGTCCTCTCTGGCACCTGCTTTAGCGGAATACAAGTCACTGACCTCCGTGCCGGGGGAGACTCACCGGGGCTCTGCGGGAGGGGAAACTAGCCAAGAACATTGTTAAATTAAAATGCAGGTAAGATTCAGAAGAAGAAAAACCCCTAGGAAAATTCCCCACCCGCGGGAAAGCTCTGGAAAGCCAGCCACGCAGAGGGTGAGGTCCTGGCTCGGGGCCGGCCAGGCGGAGGGTGAGGTCCCGGCTTGGGGCCGGCCAGGTGAACGGACAGAGGGTGAGGTCCCGGCTTGGGGCTGGCCAGGTGAACGGACGGAGGGTGAGGTCCCGGCTCAGGGCCGGTCAGGTGAACGGACGGAGGGTGAGGTCCCGGCTCGGGGCCGGCCAGGTGAACGGACGGAGGGTGAGGTCCCGGCTCGGGGCCGGCCAGGTGAACGGACGGAGGGTGAGGTCCCGGCTCGGGCCGGCCAGGTGAACCGACAGGGGGTGAGGTCCTGGCTCGGGGCAGGCTGGTCAGGCTCTGGTAGCCCTGGGACCTGCATCCAGGATACCCTGTGGCTGGCAGCATGGTACCGTCCCGGCACCCACAGGACCTCCCACCTGGTGAGCTGCGGGGGGCGGAGGGGCTGGGATCAGGGCGTCCCCCTCCCCTCAGCAGGCAGGTGCCTGGCAGAGTTTGGTCGCAATCGAAGCACCTCGGGGGGGCTGTTCCCAGGGGCCTCTCCGGGGCGCGGTCCCCTCGGTGACGCCCTTCTCCACTCTGCTTCCAGGCACCCGGAATTACACCTATGCCGTGCGCGGCTGTGCCACGAAAAGCACCTGCACCAGCAAGGTGGGGGTGTACAAGCTGCCGGGGGTCTTCACCGACATTGTGATAACGTCCGAATGCAGCCCGGCCCCCACCCCTGGCCCCAAGCAGGGCACTTAGCCCCCCACAGCCCGGGGCACACGCAGCCCTGCTGGGTGGTCGCTCCTGTCACCGTCGGCTCTCAGCATGATCCAGCATCGAGCTCCGGCATCGGGCGTGTGCCGCAAACGGCCGTGTTGGGGGGTGAGGGTGATTTCCTGGGAGAACGTCCCTGAATAAAGCATCACCAGAGGGCGAGGGGCAAAAGACGTCTGATTTTTTAACACTGGCGCAAACATGGCGCAACAGGGTGTCACGGCCTCCCAGGTCGTGCCCTCTCCTGGCCCTGTACGGTCCCTGGGGGGACCCCCTTCGGTGTGACAGCCCCCTCTCGGGGGGCCACTCTCTCTCGGGGGTTAAGCCCCTCCACCTCCTGGAGCCGCACCTCTCTGAGCCTCAGCACACCTGTCTCTCCACTCCCAGAGGGAATAATCCCCCCCCCCCGGCATCTCTCCACTCCCAGAGGGAATAATCCCCCCCGGCATCTCTCCACTCCCAGAGGGAATAATCCCCCCCGGCATCTCTCCACTCCCAGAGGGAATAATCCCCCCCCGGCATCTCTCCACTCCCAGAGGGAATAATCCCCCCCGGCATCTCTCCACTCCCAGAGGGAATAATCCCCCCCGGCATCTCTCCACTCCCAGAGGGAATAATCCCCCCCCGGCATCTCTCCACTCCCAGAGGGAATAATCCCCCCGGCATCTCTCCACTCCCAGAGGGAATAATCCCCCCGGCATCTCTCCACTCCCAGAGGGAATAATCCCCCCCCCCGGCATCTCTCCACTCCCAGAGGGAATAATCCCCCCCCACGGCATCTCTCCACTCCCAGAGGGAATAATGCCCCCCCCGGCATCTCTCCACTCCCAGAGGGAATAATCCCCCCCCCGATCTCCCCACTCCCAGAAGCAATAATGCCCCGTGTCCTCTAGCCCGGAGCGACTCTCAGCCGGGGTAACACAGGAGGGTTTATTGAGCATCTGAACCCAGCACAGGATACTCTCCAGCCTCAGGCCTGGCCTCCCCCAGCCCAGCCCAGCCCAGCCCAGTCTCCCCTGCACCCAGGGGGGCTCTGCCTGCTCCCTCCCTCCAGCATCGAGCCCCCCTGCTTCCCCGCTGGGCATCTGCTATCACTGGCCCCAAGCCCCCCCTCTGTCCATTGTCTCCTCTCCAGGGAAATGGGGTCACCGGGGCCCCCTCTCCCCTCTTCTGTCCTCTGGCCCCTCTGGCTGGACCCGGCTGCTCCGGTCACCAGGGTCCCCGCAGCCCCTTGTCCTCCCGCTGGCCAGACCCGGCTGCAATTCCCGAGCTGGGCTCCGGGTCCCCAGGTCCCCAGTTGCTGGGGTCTCCATTCTCCAGGCCATTGGCCGGGGTCCCAAGTGCTGTCGCTGGTCCTGTGTCCCAACAAACTCCCTCTCCCCTCCCCTCGTTAAACCTGTAACACCCAGGGAAACTGAGTCCCACCCCCTCTGCATGCAACCCATTGGAAAAACCAAGGAAAAACCAAGAACCCTCCACCCCCACTTCATCACACAGGGCCCCAATCTCGGCTGGGGTCTGGACAGCACCCACCACCGGGGGGGACCCTGGACTTGATTGGGGTTGGGGCAATACCTGACACAGGGGGACCCTGGTCTTGTGCAAGGTTTAGGCAGCGCCCAGGGAGTCTTGGCTGTGCCTGGTGTGAAGGGGTCTCCAGTCTTGTTTGGGGGTTGGGACCTCCCCCACACACACCCAGAACCTCCCGCACTGAGTGCCCCCCAGACCCTCTGACGAGCCCCTCCCCGCACTTGAATCCCTCCGCTGCTGAGCCTCAGCCCCTGCATGCGGATCCCGCCCCCCCAGATCCTCCACGAGCCTGCCCCCCACCCCTTGTCCCCCCAAATATGGACATCAGACAACACCTATGGCTGCAACGGCCCTGATCTGGTGCCACTTTGTCACTCTGAGCCTCAGTTTCCCCTTCTGTGCAATCATCTTTTTCTTTGTCTGTTTAGATTGGAAGCTCTCCAGGGCAGGGGCTGGCTCTCAGTGTGTGTCTGGGCAGTGCCTGGCACAACAGGGATTCCCTGATCTCAGCCAGGGGGTCTGGGCAGAACCGGCATAATAGGGCCCCCAACCTCAGTTGGGGTCTGTGGCCCCCGGCACCCCATTGTGACACCCTGTACCCCAAAGCAACACCCTCACACCCCCATATTTACCATGGTGATAGCATTGTGATGTGTTTTGTACACAGTCTGCCTTGTGAGGTATCATTCTAAAAGTCTTGATCTGTTGAGCATTAATCTCCTGTTGGATTGTGTGTGCTAGCATTGTGATGGGGAGTGGTCACGGAGTGTGGGGGAGTCCAGGCCCAACACCCCTCTTCCGGGGTGGGATCCACTGAGACTCTCAGCCAGCCAGTAAAACAGAAGGTTTATTGGACAACAGGGGAACACAGTCCAAAACAGAGCTCCTGAGTTTGGGCTACCCCGGGAGCCGGCAGGAACCCTCAATCACATCCTTCTGGTGGGAGCAGGGGCCAAGGGGAAGAAGACAGTACTGGAACAACTGTATGAACAGTGCCCTTCCGACCTGAGGCTGTGGTTGGTGGACAAAAAGCTCGAGAACCCCCAGCACGCAGGGCAGCTGGCCGACGAGTTTGTGAACAGTCGGTCAGGGGGTCCCGGGAGGAGTCCCAAAAGAACAGGCCCCCCCCCGATGCAGAGAGAGAGTCACCAGGGGGCCTCCCAGCGGGGAAATAGGGAGAACCCCCTCCCAAGGGGACGCCTGGCGTCGGGCCCCTCCGACCGGCTCGAGGGGACCAACGTGACCTGAGCTGCTATCACTGTGGCCAGAGAGGCCACGTACGGTCCCAGTGCCCTGGGCTCAGGGACAAACTGAGCAGACCCAACCTACTTAGGGTTAACTGGGTAGGGACCCAGCTGGACGAGGGGCAGAGCGGCCCAGGAGGGGGGCTGCCAGTTTACCTGCCCCGGAGGGAAGAGTACCCCAGGCCAGCTCCACCAGAGGGCTGGAGGCTCTGGACTCAGGGCGCTCAGTTTACAGGGTGGGCGCGGGGCTGTCCCTCCGGAGAGAGTGCCCTTTTCCCCCCGAGGGGGTTGGGGGAAGGGTCATGGGTACCCAGGATGACGTGGGGGGGGGGGGGCGCCGGCCCGGCGGGGGTGAGTGGCCCCAGGTCGGGTGGTACCCTTCCCCCCCATTGCCTGTGGGGGGGCGCGGGGCGGGCCCCCATGTGAGGTGCTGGCAAGGGGTGTACACCTGAAATGGGGGGCCAAGAGGGGAGGGGGACCCTGGAGATGTGGGGGTGCACCACCATTTGCCCACTGAAGTTTTGATGGGGGGGAGACCTAGAGGACTGGCCAAGCAAGCCCCAGACCGCCCTGGTTGTGACCCGTAGCCAGAGCCGGCGAGGGCCACTGCTCCCTGACCTCGGGGAGGGTACCACACCGGAGGCGCAGGACCCTACCCTGGTGGGAAGGGGAGGGCCGAGGGCACGGCTCAGAGAGGCTGAGGCCTCAGACCTGGCCACTGAGGGGGAACCGGGCCCCATCCCTTCCCCAGCCGCTGAGTTCCAGGCCGAGTTGAGGAAAGATCCCTCCTTGCGGAGCTCAGGGACCTGGCCGACCTCAGGGTGGTACGGACCATGAGGAGAGGCTGCCAGGGAGAGGTTCCTGTGGGAGAAGGGGTTCCTATACCGAGAATGGGCTCCCACAAGGGAAGTAGAGTCCTGTGGGATCAGGGAGGCAGCTGGTGGTCCCCCAGAAGTATCGCCGCAAGCTCCTGTACCTGGCCCATGACATCCCCCTCGCAGGGCACCAGGGAATCCGGCGCACCCGGCAGAGGTTGCTACAGAACTTTTACTGGCCCGGGGTCTTTACCACGGTCCGGCAGTATTGCCGATCCTGTGACCCCTGTCAGAGGGTGGGGAAGGCCCGGGACAAGGGAAAGCGGCTTTGAGACCTTTGCCCATCATAGAGGAGCCTTTCCAGAAGGTGGCCATGGACATCGTGGGGCCTCTCAGCAGGACGACCCGGTCGGGGAAGAAATACATTCTGGTGGTGGTAGATTTTGCCACCCGCTACCCCGAGGCAGTGCCCTTAGCTTCCATTGAAGCAGACACCGTGGCCGATGCGCTCCTGACCATTTTCAGCCGAGTGGGGTTCCCCAAGGAAGTCTTGACAGACCAAGGCTCCAACTTCATGTCGGCCCTGCTCCGGTGCTTGTGGGAGAAATGTGGGGTCCGGCACGACTGGGCCTCAGCTTATCACCCCCAGTCCAACGGGCTGGTGGAGAGGAGTTTAACGGGACGCTAAAGATGATGCTGAAAACCTTTATGAACCAGCACCCGCAGGGATTGGGACAAGTACTTACCTCACCTGCTGTTCGCGTACAGGGAGGTGCCACAGGAGTCTACCGGATTTTCGCCTTTCGAACTGTTATATGGAAGGAGGGTGAGGGGCCCCCTGGACCTGATGAGAGGCGAGTGGGAAGGGAAGGCCACTCCCGATGGAGAGTCAGTGGTGGAGTATGTCCTGATCTTCCGAGAGAGACTTGCTGAACTCATGGGCCTGGCCAGGGAGAATCTGGCCAGAGCCCAGAAGAAGCAGAAGGTCTGGTATGACCGCACGGCAAGGGCCCGTGCCTACGCCACTGGGGATCCGGTGATGGTTCTCATCCCAGTGAGAAAGAACAAACTACAGGCCGCCTGGGAGGGCCCTTTCAAGGTCGTCAAGCAGCTCAATGAGGTAAACTATGTGGTGGAGCTGTCGAGACCGGGCGCACCACACGCCGGGTGTACCATGTGAATATGATGAAGCCATATTATGCCAGGGGGAATGTGGTGTTGGCCGTGTGTGGACAGTGGGAAGAGCAGGGAGATGACCCCTTTAGTAGATCTATTCCCTGGGACCAGAGCTGGTTCCCCCCTGGAAACAATTCCCCTCTCGGATCAGCTAACCCCTGCCCAGCAAGCTGAGGTCAGGGAGGTGCTGCATCCGTCCTCGACAACTGTTTTCCAACCAGCCTGGACGCACTAATCTGACTGTCCACCGGGTGCAGACAGGGTCGCACCCGCCGATAAGATGCTCCCCCTTCCGAGTCACAGGGAAAACTGCTCAGGACCTGGAAAGAGAGGTCCGGGACATGCTGGCTTTGGGGGTGATCCAGCCATCTGCCAGCCCTTGGGCCTC